CTCCCCGCTGAGCAGGGAGCCCAATGTGGGACTCAATCCCGGGACTCCAGGATCATGAACTGAGCCGAAGGCAGTCGCTTAACCAACTGAGCCACCCAGGTACCTGGGATGGTCTAACTTTTAATTGTGAGAGTAACCCATCCTTTCCCTCTTATTTACTCCTGGAAGTGAGGGATTATGGACTAATGCACACACAGTGTTCAGAGACCGGATATATTTGTGACTTTGGGTTCTGCATGGTGGTGGTAGCGTGTGAGCGATGTTGGCTCAGTGAAACTCAGCTTAGCTACATGATGCCTACTTAATCAACGTAATATAAGGTCAACTGTCAGGGCCCTGCAAATTCACCCTATCATGGAACGCCTTTCTAAGAATTGAAGCATAATTAACATTAACGTACAGTGTTATATTAGTTTCAGGTGTCCAACATCGTGATTCAATAATTCTATACATTGACCAGTGCTCACCACCATAAGTACATACAATATTATTGCAATATCATTGACTATATGCCTTTAAAGTGCACTTCACTGTGGAGAGAAACCCAAGCCCCCTTGACCATGTCAGAGGGAGAGAGACACCTTTTCTACTTCTTTCATATGGAAGTTATTGCTGCCTTTTCATGGACAGAAAATTACAGATTGATGGAACTACATTTTCATAGACACTTTGGTGTCAGAGCATTTCAACAAATGTATGCTTTGGGTATCTCTCCTCCCCACTCAGGAGACGATGTCTTAATTATTTTGACTGAAGCCAGACCATGTTGTGTGTTGTAAACATCTGGTTTATCATTCATCCAGCTGAACTGGTTTGTATTTTGTTAGAAGAAAAGGCTCAGGATTAAAGGCATTTAAGTAATTAGGCACATGTCAAGACAATTTGGTGATGGGTAAATATAGTCTCTGTTAAATGCACCGTCTGGGGCCTCTGGTTTAGATTTACGTCCGGCTGGAGCACGGGGATGAAAGCTGAATGCTGGGCGGACTGGGCCCTGTTCTGGGGGAAATCAAAACCAAATGGGTTTTCAAGAGTTCACCACTCCTCTAAGTACCTGTCCCATGGGATAAAAGTTTCCTTTGAGTTTGGCCTGGAGGGAATCGAGCTGCCGTCCCTGTCACCCAGCAGCACTTGTAGATTTAATGAGGCTCTCTTTGGGAGGCTGACCATAAACTGTGCTTTGGTTGATCCTTTGTGTCCAGGAAACCAGAGATGACTTGGAAGCTAAATTTGAGGCCTCAGGTTTTGTGCTCTGAGTGTGTGTTTTCAGGGACAGGCCCTGGCGCCTGAGCCTACCCTGCTCTGTTCCTTGACCGTGACCCTCTGGATGCCAAGGGACCGTGTTGCTAGGCCTGGCTGGGTCAGGCTGTGTAGAGCTGTGGTTGGTGCTGGGCAGAGGAGAAGCATGAGCCTTTTTCCTTTAGGGATTATAGTTCTAAGAGCAAGAGGTATGAAGAACCTAGTGACTTAAAGGGCCTGTAGGGATCAGTGAGATGGTCCTCAGTGAGCTGTGCTGTGTTTGAGCCCAGGCCCTGCTTCTCTTTGTGGGGGGAGGAAAAGGACAATATCCTCTGTGCTTTCTCCTTCTTCCTGGCTCCCCTTCTGGGGGCAGTAGGATAGAGGTTGGGTCTGTCTCGCTCTCTCTCCCTGGGTCTAGAGCAGAGAGGAAAGACTAGATGTGATCCTGAAGAAGAAAGCTTTGCCATTATGGCCAGATGGATGGGGCACGATGGAACGAATTAGCCCATTTTTGCTGAAAAAGAAAAGAAAAAATTCAGAATTTCAGTTTTCAAAGCAGAGACGCTTTAAAAACAAAAACCGTTTGATTGTTTTCGTCTTCTTTCAAACTGATTTCCATGCTTGTTTGGGGGTATTGGTTTCTGAAGTCTGTGGGTGACCCAAGAGGCCAAAGCAATTCCCATTCTTGGGTGAAGTTGTGGATGAATAGTTATTTTCAACTTGCCTCCCCCTTCCCGGTTCCTCCTCCTTTTATGTGCTGTTCCCTCCCTCTACAGCAGCTGCTGATTGGGATCACCCATATGATGCCAGATGGAAAAGAGGAGGTACACAACCCTGGAGGACAGATGCACATTCCCTTAGAGCATTTTGGGGCTCTGTTTTTCTGGGTTGGGATAACTCAGGTTTGAGGACCTGAATTGTATTGGCCCCAAGACAAAGAACCACTTGTTGGGCTTCTTCTCTAGGAAACAGACTAATCAACCAGAGTTTAAAGGTTATTCATCAGCAGAGGTTGCCATAGGAAATTGGAGGAGTGAGGAAGATGGGTGCCTGTGATAAATGGGAAGAGATACTGCAGTAAGTTTAGCCATGGGGCTGGTTGCTCTCATCAGCCATTATCTCTTCTGTGTTCCCAGCAGTGAACTAGGTGCCATAAGAGATACAGGTGAGGCGGAGGGGGAATGTATACCTTGTGAGCCTTCAGAGAACACACATAACAATGGCCAGATGACATCCTACAAGGGAAGTGAGCTGTTTTAGGCACGTGGTACGCAGGGAGCTTTATTTGAGATGGGAGGTAGGGTACACAGCTTTCGACCTCCAGTGATTTGAGATCCTTCTGAGGATTTGGCAGCAGGACCCATGAATTCAGGTTGTCAGCTTATTGCTGTCAGACACTTGGCTACTGTGCTCAGCGCCCAGCAAAGCCGAGAATTCCACACCTGTTTAACTTTCTCCATGCAGTTTGGGAACTGTCTTTAGGGTACACGCTGCTGCTGTGGCTACCATGGGTGTGAGTGCAGGGATTGGGGGGGGTGGGTAGTGCACAGGGTGCGGTCTAGTTTAGAGCTTGCCCCGCCTGTGATGCTTCAGCCTCAATCTGCATCGACAGCCCTTTTGTAGCTTCGAGCCACCCCCACCCCCTCTCCTGACTCAGGACTCCTCCCTTTGATTACTGTAGGGTGGCTTCGCATTGCTGTGGTTATGGCTCTTGAACTGATTAATGATGCTTAAAGTGAAATTGTAGTCTTGTGAGTAAGACAGATCTGCAGCTCGTTCAGCCCCTGGGCACCCTTCCCCCATCCACACTCCCTTTACCTACCCTCTGCTCCCCCCACCCCCCAAAGTTATTTCAGATGGTTTATGTTCATGCTAAGGAGGAAACTTAAAATCAGGAAAGGACCGGCCCCTTGGTGATGCTGCCGCTCTCAGATCACTGGAAGAGTGGTCACTTCTCAGAACGCCCCCTGCAGTCTCCCGAGGGCCTCTGCTTCCACATGGGGCCCATAGCTGGTCTTCCTGGCATCCTGTGCCCTAGAAACGAGGCAAAGAGGGGCAGGGTTTGAGGAAGAGGAGGCTGTTGAGGAGAGAGGATTGTTTGAGAGCCTCTGTGGTCTCTGAGTATGTGGGTGGGGTATCGCTTGGGAAGGGAGGTGGAAAATGTTGTCTAGATTTGTTAACCATCATTGTTGTTTATCCAGAGCCATGCAAATGCAGATTACTTAGCATTAGTACATGATACATGTTTCCCTCTAAAACCAATTTTCTTTCTTCTCATCTCCTGACTGTCTACAGTCTCTCTGGAAAGAATGGTTCAGGGTAGAAAGCGTGTTTGAGACAAGGGAAGTCACCGTGTTCCAGAGCTCACCCCTTCTCCTCCCTCTTCATGATTACATGTGCATCCTTGCATGGTAGGGTCCTCGGTACTGGGGGTTGGCGGGATATAATGTCTCCCATATGGGAGCCAGTGACCCAGGACAGACTATCCTGAGTTAGAACATACAGACCATTTTATAGTCTCTGAATAAAACTGTGAATGAAATGAGTACACAACACTGCCTCTGTGCTGGGCAGAAAGTTCTCTGTTGTGACTATACTGGAGTTAACAGGGACAGAGTCATTTACTCATTTAGCATATATTTAGTAGGGTCTGCTATGTGCACGTGGTATGAAATACTGTTGGGATTAAAACATCAATCTCTTGTGTGGTTTTCAAACTTTGTGGCCTCAAGAACCCTTTGCACTTTTATTTTTCTTTAAGATTTTATTTATTTATTTGACATAGACAGACACAGCGAGAGAGGGGACACAAGCGGGGAGTGGGAGAGGGAGAAGCAGGCTTCCCGCCGAGCAGGGAGCCCGAGGCGGGGCTCGATCCCAGGACCCCGGGATCACGACCTGAGCCAAAGGCAGACGCTCAATGACTGAGCCACCCAGACACCCCCACTTTGCACTTTTAAAAATTTTTTAGATTTTGTTTAGGTGGGTTATCTCAGTCAATATTTATTGTATTAGAAGTTAACACTAAGAAAATTTTAAAGCACAAGGATACACAAGCACACATTCCATTAACTGTCAGGGGGATGATGCCATCCTGTTCACAAAACCCCACTCTGTACTCATGAGAGAATAGGAGGGAAGAAGCAAATAATGTCCTAGTGCTATATTATAAAATTAGTTTTGACCTTGTGAACCTCCTGAAGGGGTCTTGGGGATGCCCAGGGTTCCCCAGACCACATTTTGAGAACCACTGCCTTGGGGCACGCTAGCACAGGGAGCTAATGGTCTAGGCAGACCAGCCATGGGCAGGGATAAACACTGCTCTGGGAAGGAACAGGGACCAGAGATGAGTTCCAGTCCTGTGCCGTGGGATGCTCTGACATATAACCTTATTGATCCTAATGATAATAACCTGTAGAGTCATTCCTGTACTGTCACTGAACACAGGTAGTGTCACCTGATGGCCGTAGTGGTGGCAGTGACAGAGAGTCTGCAGTGTTCTGGGGGGGATGAGGACGGGGGGCATGTGAGGTTTGAGAGAGCCCATTTGATCCTGGAACATAACTTTGTATGTGGGAAGCACAAATATTCTCGTGCTAAGAACTAAAGCTCCACAGAAACTTCTAGATTGGGGGTGACGGAGGAGCACGCAGCGAACCTCAGCTGGGAGGTGGTGGGGGGTAACGTTTCCTGACAGACAGAGGTTAAGTCGAGAAACCCCTGGGCTACAGTTACCTTTTCCATCTCCCCTTCTTCCACAGGCATTAACTCTCTGATAGCAAACAATATCTACGAGGCTGCCTACCCTCTTCATGACGTGAGTATCGTTTCCGCTGCGCGCTCCGCGCGGTCTTCAAATGGTTGCGCACCACAGGTGACACAGCAGAATGCACGCGGGCGGGGCAGGAGGGGGTCATGCCGCTCGCTCACATGCCTGGGCTGACCGTGGCCCCCTCAGGGCCGACGGGAATCTCCTCAGAGACAACTGTCTCTCCGGGCATTGCCCCCATGGCCAGCTGGTTTGGGTGCGAGCATTCCCCATGCTCCCCGCGGCGGTTTTGGGAGGTGGTGTGAGAAGGCAGATGGGGCACATGCGAGTGTTTGAAGGGAGCAGGCGGTGGTGAAGGTGGGTGGGCGGCGGTGGAAGGAGGCTCGAAGACCCAGGTGTGGTCAGACCCCGAAACGACCTTTTGTGATGGTGATCTTTTGTACGTGATCGTTTTGTGTGGGTGTGAAATCCCTCATCCTTAATAGGCAAGTACATAGTATCAGGTCTCTTTCTTAAAATAGATTTGAACAGATTTGAAGCAAATCTCTCAGAATTCCTTATACTCTTGTTTGGTTAAGCAGAGAAAACAAGACAGACTGTAAGTAAAGCTTTCCCTGATGGGGGGTCGTGTTAGAAACAGGGCAGTGACATTCTTCAAGATGCTTCATGAAGAACTTAACTGGCCCATGAATGAAATGCCCTCTCTCGGTGGCATTGCTCCCTGGCTGGTCACTTCCTTCGCGTGTGTCACACGGTTATGCCAAATGAGGCTGCGGAGCGGGGGGCTCCCTGAGGGCCGGAAGGAATTTCCAGATGACCGTCTCTGCCCACCGATAGCTTTGCTGTGGGCCTACATGATGTTAGGTGCTGCCACTTGTGGACAGTGGACGGGTGGCAGGGGGAGTGTGCTGTGGCCCAGGGTGACTCCAGACGGTATGCTGGGCACGCGCTCCACCATTGCCTTTGCTCTGAGGAGGCGCAGGCCGATCGCGGACGCATCAGAGGGGAGCCTCTTTGTGTGCGAAGCTGTCCACAGGAAACACTGCAAGTGTTGCCGCCTCACAACACGGAATATTGGCTCCTTACCAGGGCGTGCTTTTGACTTTCCTCAAAAGGGGAATGAGAGAAAGGGAGGACGCCAGAGAATAGAAAAGAAACTCCTTTCTCTGGTTTTGATAATTCCCTTGGCTTTAGGCAGAGCACTCCTTTCTCTCTTACAGGGTGAATACGACAGCGCAGGGGATGACACGAATGACAGAAAGGTAAGCCGGCCCTGGGCCGCACGCAGCGCTGGGGCGCGGGGAACTGTGGGTGGGTGTGGAACTAGCCCCGCATGTCCTGAAAGTTCTGTTTACCCGCTTAAGTATTTTTCAGCAGTTCTTCCACAGCTCCCTGCCCTCCAGGGGTTGGAACTGTGGGGGCCATTTCTGGTCATCGACATGACAGCATGTGTTGGGGGGTGCTACGGGCATTTAGCGCCTGGAGGGCCAGCAGTACTCACCATCCTGAGGTCCATCCCGCAGTCCCACCCCCGATGACCGGGGGGCCTCAACTGAGAAACACTGAGAGTCCAAATTCCGTAATTTCTAGGTGGGGAGACTGAGACACAGAAAGAGTGAGCACCTTGCCCACGGTGACACTGCCACAGTGAACAGAGTGGAGGCTTGGAACACCTCTGACTCCCAGAGCCAGTGTCCCTGTTAAAAATGTATTATTATCCATGCCATGGTGGCTTTTTGCAGGGGTGGGGGTCATCTTTAACTTATTCTTCTTACCCTTGAGGCAGACAAGTGGGGGTTGGCCATTCCCAAATTAGAGCTGAGAAATCTGAGGGAGAGGGAGGCTCAGTTGTGCTGTGTGCTTCAGGCAGCTGGGAATCAGAGGTTACAGTTAGGGGAGGGAAAACGTCCCTTTGGAAGGACCCCTCCTGTGCCAATCGCAGCACCTGCCCGTGCCGCGCTCTCCCGGCCCTTCACCCAGATCCCAGTTCTTCTGCATGGGTGCACCACCTTTCCCTGCCATGACATGGCACTCTAAGGATCACCCGCCTCTTTAGTGGGGACTGCCCCATCTGGCTGTCAACCCCTCATGCCATCCTCCCACCCAGCTTCCCCCAGCCATCAGCAACTCTGGCGAGCAGAGGAGGGAGGGCAGGGGCGGGAGGGCTGAGGAATTGAAGCCCACGGAGTCCCCCCCCCCCCCCGCCCTAGCTCTGTTGTCTGGAAAATTATTCATCCCCCAAGTTGCCTTTTGAGAAGCCTTCTTTTCATCCTGCCTATTAGTCCCTGTTATGAAGTGTTAAGTATTAAAAACATAAAAGGTCTTTTACTGCTGTGATTGCTTACACATGTCCCCTCTCTGCCTGCCCAGGGAATCTGCTGCAGTATTGCGATGTCTTAACCTCATCTGTTTTCTATCTGATGCTAATAGTCTCGGTGTTTAATTTCCTGAAAAGTCCCGGATCAGAGTTAAAGGAAAAGGAGGAAGCATTTCTCCTCCCATCTCACCTGGCTCACCCCAACTGTTTTCTGTCCTCCCACTCTCTCATTTCATGTTCCTCCCCTTTAAAGAGTGATCGCCACCACTGCCCACCTAAGAATCCTCCTGCTGAGTGGGTGGTGACCCAGCCCGGCAAGGTAGAGCACTTTACAGGAACGTTCCAGAGACCAGGAACACACAGTACCTCCTGGGAGAAATCAACCAGACCTCTGTCATCTGCACGGAGGCAGAGGGAAGCAAACTGGAGACCATCTGAAATATATATTTGTCTTCGGAATGATGTTGTGTTATTATTAACAACACAATCTTGTAACAAAAATTTTTCCTTTCAGGAAATGTTTTGAGTAGGCCAATAGAATTATTCCCACTGCACAGCAGAACTGGCAGAATGGGTAGAAGCTGGGAGGTAGGGAGAGACCAGCTCGGATGGAGCTGCACCTTGGTGGATGTTTCCCAAAGTTGATGTCAAAAGGCAGACAGCTATCTTTGAAAGACAGGAGGCCCCTTTCTTGTGGCTTTGCCTTGAGTTTGCTGGCCAGTCCTTATTTTCCTCTGCCAGGGTCATGGTTAGGGAACTAGGCTTTGCTGGGATGGGGGTAAGATAATCCATGAGAGAGGAAAAGGTTTTTTTTTTTTTTTTTCCCTGTCCATTTGGGTTGGAAAACTGATTCCCAACAAGGTGAGGAGATGGTTCCAATCGCTGTAAATGATTATCAAGTCAGGACGAAAACCCTGGTGTCCAAAGGCCAGCCAGCCCTGGATAGTCAGGTACTCAGCGTCTTGTGTATGGCAAGGGGAATTCTCAGCACCGTGCTGGCTTTGTTCCTGCAGTTTCAGTGGTATATGGGTGGGGCCTAAAAGGATCCTCAAGAAGAAAGAGTCCAAACCTCTGAATACATGCAGCATATTGATTCGTTTTAATTGCATTATAATAGTCTAGTGTTCTTGGAGAGGGCTGCAAGAAGGATTTTGGTTGGGTGCCAGGGAGAATCCTTGCATCTGTTGCTGGAGGGCGTGGAGAAGGGTTGGGAGCTGCAGTGGGATCCCCCCCTCTGGGGGCCTGTAGAGGTGACTTGCAAGGGCATCCCAAGCTGCCCATCCTGCCCGTACCTGGGTGTCCTCCTTTACTCTTCCCTGCAATTTGTGCCTGTTCCCCTGATCTCCCTGAGGCCCAGGCTCCTCACGGGCAGATCCCAGGAAAGCCCTGAGGCCCCTGAGAACACTCTTCTTTCCTTCCAGCTTGCCTAGTGCAGTTGGGCTGCCTCAGTGACTCAGCTCTAGCTAGGGGCTGGAAGTCTCTCTCTCCCCATTCCTGGATAGTAATTAACAAGATGCACCCTGCCTCTGGAGAACAGGGCTTTCCCACCTTTCTAGAAAGCAGGGCAGCACGAAGAGGGAGCAATGCGGGTGTGGATGGGTTTTTTCATTGCTGCCAGTGGCCACTTAATTCCACGTTAGCCAGACCTGCCTGGTTTTCTCAAGCTTCCCAGGAAAGTGACCATAAGCATCTTCGGAGGGCTGCCCAAGCCCCGCCAGCTCCCTGCAGCTTCCTCACCCACGGACAGGGGAGCCTAAGGCACATCATTGGACTGCGATTCTCTTTAGCAGTTTTTAAACCCTGGGTCTTGGATTTTGCAGCTTTTGCAGATGATTGTCTTCTCTAGTGGACGGTTAGAAAGTGTCCCCACGAAAAGGTGTGTGAAGAGAGTCACTTCTGTTTTTCTGACCAGAAAGGTACTTTGGTCCTGGGTTTCACTTGAGGATTGATTTTCTCCTCCCACACTCATTTTGCTAGTAGAGGAGGCCTAGAGAGTTGAAGTGACTTGCCAACAGTTCAAACAGGTCATTGCAGGATCTGGGAGTAGGAGTCCCTTCTCTCCCATTCAGTTTGCCCTGTCCCGTCACCAGCTTTCAGTTGGCTGCATTGCCATCTTTCTTCCTGTTAGGTCTCGCTCTCTGAGGAGCCTGAGGCCTTCGAGAGAGCCGGGAGTCTCAAACATCTTGCCATTCTCTGGCATTGCAAATGGTTTTAACAGTTGGGTTCTTTTATGGTTTCATGAAATACTTAAATCCACTGACCCACTGTCAAATGTGACCCCCAGGGAGCCGACTGGCTGCTTGAATGTCCTGATCCATCAGGCAGGGTCGTCCCTGTGGATCGTGGCTTCCTGCCGTAGAGGTTTGGGGTCAGGCTGACATGTCTGGAATTATATCCAGGGCCTCTGATATAAGGCACTGTCCACTGAGAGGGAGCTTCAGACCTTCCCTAATCTATTCACAGGCTTGGCCAGTCATGAAGAGGACATTGGTGTAGCTCTGAGGGAGAAGGTGGATTTGCTAAAAGCTGCATTGGAAGGATCTAGATACTGCCCATTTAAAGAGATTGTTACAGGATACTGTGGATGTCTTCTTGCACTTTACTCCACCATACTAATCCCCATGGGGCAGAGACTCCAGAGCATGCCTCCTTCCACCCTGACTGCTAGTCTGTTCTGGGACCCTGCAGCAATGACCCACTTGTCTCTGAGTATGTGTGAGTGAATATTTGTAGAGATGGGGAAGGGTCTACAGTGCTCCCCACCCTTGCGGGGAGGCATGAGCCGGCCTGGGTGGAACCACGTGGGCATCCGGCCCTAACTGCCGTGTTGCTCCCAGGTTTGGTGCTCCCTTGCAGGGGCATCCTGGCTGCACTGAGCTCACACAGCTCTCTTGGCTCATCCTCATCCGTATCCACAAACTGAATCTAGCTTTGTGCTCAGAGGGCACTACCCCGAGGAAGGGACCTCCAGAGGTTTCTTACGGCACTTTCAGGATCCCAGCAGGGGTGAGGCTGGTGAGCGTGGCTCTCAGTTTGGGGCGGAGCCAACTGTGCCATCCTGGTTCTTGGAGCACATTTAGTTTTTCCCTGCAGGGCCGTGGCAGATGGCTGTTCTCAGCCTCGGGTTTTGGCTTGACACGTGACTCGGAGAGGCATCCGCCCTGGGGGTCAGAGCCCGGGAGGCAGGCGGTGCCGACCCACAGCCCTCAGGGGAGTCCTTGCCCCGTACCTCCTGATGCATGCTGGCCTCCCTTAGCGCCACAAATGATGTCACTGTGACAGCCAGGGGCTGGTGAGTGCAGGGATGGCACTAGCGGAGGGAATAAAGACCCAGGGCAGTAGAAGCACCTGAGGTGAAGGGGAGGAGGAGATCTAATGAGAACAGTAAGATTTGGTTAGGGGCCACCTGCCTGGAAGGGGCGGCATCTGAACTCGCGGACTCGCAGCCTCCTCTGCCAGTCAGGCTCGGAGTAACCCCTTTGTCTGTGCCTGGGTTTCCTGCTTTGCAGGTGGTGCTAACGGTGGTGGCAGTTTGCTCTGTCAGGGTCCGTGCGGTTTCGGGTTCTGTTTCGCCGTTGTTGGGAGAGACTATGACCATAAAAGTCTAAACCCGTTAAGGTGGAATGCCAGTTCTCATGTCAGTTTATGAAAAAACCGTGTCTTTAAAGGGTCTTTAGGTGAAAAGGGTGGCCTCCTGCTGTTCAACTGGATATCCAAAATACCTAGTTAGGGCAGGTTCTCCTGGACAGAATTCCTCGTGAATTCTGTGTGATGTGTAAGGAGAATAGAGAACATAACAAGATAGCCAGTGTCTGGCAAACTTGTCAAGTCTAGACATATGATTTGGCTACATGCTAATATCTCTTCAGCGTGGATATCTAGAGGATGTCTAATTACTTCATTTACTTGCAGATAATCTGTGAAGCTGGCCGGCCAAGTGTTTGAAACTGAAACGCGGTTTGCCCCAGGAGTGACAACACCTAGGTTTTGTCCACATGCTATCGCTCTGCTAAAATTGCTGTTCAGACATCACAAAATGGCACGCCTTGATGTGGGTGCATCATTTCCTCCCTCAGTGTTCCACTAAGGTGTTGCCCCCACACTGCCACGGAAACCACTCTTGTCAAGGTCACGAGTGACCTTAAAGTCACCGAATCTGGAGGTCACTTCTCCATTCTCACCTGACCTGACCCATGAGCAGTGTTTGCCACAGCTGGGCAGTTTCTTCTTTTTGAAACCAATTGTCCCTGAGCTTCGGGGACACCACACATTTCTAGCCCTCTCCATCGCTCGCTGCTCTTCTACCTCCTTTGCTGCTCATCATCTCCTTGGTCTCTGAAGGTCACCGCACCAGGGCCCCACTGGCACACCTCTTCTTTACCTACTTCCTCTCCCTCGGTGGTTGCATCCAGAGCTTAATGACCTTATAAATCATCTCCTGTTAGACACCTCCCAAATTCACATCTTCTTTGTAAATTTAGGAGGTGGACGCTCCTTTGAAATCCGGACGCCAGTAGCCCCACGGGGATGCCTCCAGGGCACCTCAGATTAGCGCATCCCAAAGTGAACTCCTGGTTCTGTCCTTGCCCACCTGCTCTTCCACGGCACATAGAGTCACCATTTACTGAGCGCCTCAGGACAGGTTCTCCATCCCACCCCACATCCAATCCAACACCAAATCCTACGCGACCTTTAAAACATAAGTGGAACCACCCACTTCTCCTTACTCCCCCCACCGCCTCCGTGGTGAAGGCCGCCTCCATCTGCCCTGGACCGCTACAGAGACCCCTGCTCCTGTGCTAGCCCTCCGCCTCTTCCCCACACGGGGGCTGGCGTGAGCAATCTGCAGTCCATCCGGATCATCTCCCCCTGGCTTCCTTCAGAGTGCAAAGATTTTAGCGTGGCCTGCAAGCCTCCAAGTGATCTGCCACCTCAGTACCTTCTGATGTTATCTCCGATTATTCACCTCATGCTCATGCTGCCCCAGCCACACGGCTTCCCTGTTTTCCCCAGGACATACCACATGCACTTTCCTCAGGGCATTTGCACAGGAAGAGTGTTCTTTTGCTGGGTGCACTCCCTCCCTTCCTTCAGGTCTCAGCGCGGATGCCACCTCAGAGAGGCCTTCCATTGCCATCTGTCTGAAATAGCACCCTCCCCCACTCCCCTGTCCTTCGTGTTCTACTGCCTTGCCTTGATTTAGCTTTCCACATGACATTTATAAATCTTGGATGTTGACGTGTTTCTGTCTCCACACATCAGGGCGTAAGCTCTATGGCAGCAATGACTTTGGTTTACAGCTGTGTCCAGCATCTGACACATAGTAGATGCTCAGTAAACACTTGTTTAATGAGTGAATGAAGGGACACCAGGCTCATTTTGCTGGACTAAGCAAAGCAAGGGAGTGAGGAAGGTGGGATTATGATTGCCAGGTGCAGTAGGCACTGGCCTGGAGTGTGATGAAGGTCATCACCTTTATTACGTGGGGAAGGGAAGTCAGCCTCTATAGCCTCCCATCTTTGGAAACCTTCCTTGTGGATGTCTTGTACGAATTTTCCTAGAAGCTGGGCTTTGGGGATTCCGTTCTGACTTACTAGGGTAGTTGTGGGGGATACAATTCTGACTTGCTAAGGTGAACAAAACAAAAGGTGAATGGTTGCCCCCTCCACCCCTAATCTGTTTCCCCTCTTCTTTTTTAGCTGCTGTATCAAGAATGGGCACGCTATGGAGTGTTTTATAAGTTTCAACCTATCGACCTCATCAGGTAAGACATGAGCGGCACTCTTGGGAGGGCCCTAGAGCTGCAGATTCTGAAAGATACCCGTCAACCCTCTTAACCCCTGGCTGTCTGTTGGCCAAGCAGAGGGACCTGCTTTTCTGAGCTATGATTGTCCTGCTCTATTCTGATGCATGGGGAAGCAGCTCAGGGACAGGGAGGGGGATGGGGTCTGTGTGGGGCAGCAGATAATGTAATGGATACACCATGACTTCCGTCTTGAGGTCTTCAGCACTATGGTCTCTCTTTCCCTGCCTGCTCTACTGTGTGGTGTGTGTGTGTGTGTGTGTGTGTGTGTGTGTGTGTGTGTGAATGCAGTTATCACTCATCTATTGTCCCTTCAGATTTGTCCTGGAGAAGGATGGGGTAAAGCAGATCCTTAGGTTCTGCCAAAGTAGCCACGGTGTTGACCAAGAGAAGGGAAGACCTGGCAAATCGCATGAGGAATAAGCTGGCTGGTCTGAGAGGGCATGTCAACTTTTTATGGCAGGAAGGGAGAAGAGACAGGGTCTTGGAATCTCTCCCTTCAGTGGTGCCCCTCAAATGATGTCCTGGTACCTTGGGAGTTTCCCTAGCTTCTACCGAACACTGGTGAAAGTCCTTTGAGAGAATTTACTAGAATGCTGTAGGTCTGACTAGCCTAAAGTGGGTTGAGGGCTCTAGCAGCTCAGTGGGTTCGTTGAGCCCAGCTTTTTACCCAGCTGGAATGTTGGGAGGCGACACTGTGAGGTGGGAAAGCACTGGGCTGAGAGTGGAGACGGGGCCCACCTCTATGGGCTGTTGCTTCTTCGGGCAAGCCACGTTCTCTCTGTGGTCTTCAGGATCCTGGTTATCATAAATTGGGAAAAGAAAATGGGAAGCTGAACTGAGGGATCTGGGAGGAAATTTGGTAGCACATACTCGTTTGGGGAAGATGGGGACTTTGGGCCCCATGACTGACATAATGGCCTCACTGCCACACAGTCACTTGTGGCTCTTCGAATGAGCTAATTAGTCAGCCGGTAAACACAGAGAGTGTCCCTGGCTAATTGCCCGGGGCTGGGACTGTGAGAGGGGCAGCTGCCAGAAGGATTGTATCCAGGGGGAGGAACTCCAGCTTCTTCTTGGAAGAAGAGAGCAGCCTGGGGGCTGCGATTTGGGTAGGTTCGCCACCCACACAGAGATATGAGGGCCCTCCCAGGGAACTGGGAGCTTGGTTGGACATCTCTTGACAGCAGGTGTTTGTTCCAGCTGAAGACCATTAACTGTAGTGCTGGGGTCGTGGAGCAGGGCCACGGGGTGCCTGTGGCTGAGGCTTTCTCACCCCGCGCCTCCCATTCCCAGGCTGCCTTGTATGGAGCATGGGCCACCTAGACTGTTCTCTGGGCCACACCAAGGCTGTTTCCTCCATGCTTGGTGGGCTTTGATCTTTCTCTCTGCATCCCAAGTGGCCTCCCACTCTGTCGCCTGTTTTCTCCAACTACTCGTTCATTTTTATTAAAAATATTAAAAAATAAGAATTCTCCCTACCAGAGAGCTTTGTCTTTTCCTCAGAGGCTTTAGGTGACTGGCCACCAGCTAAGTGGGAAATGGCTCCATTGTGCACTCAGTTTTGGCCACCAAAGCAGCCTCACCTGCAGGGGAAGAATTGCCTTTGGAGCAGAGTCCCGCTCTGGGGCCCGGTGGTTCCTGAGGACACAGAGCTCAAATCTGTCTAGACGGGGCATGGTGTGCTGCAGAGTTGGAGGCTGTCCACTGCTCCTCACACATCAGATGGCTCAGGGAGCTCCCACAGCCCCTGGGCGAGGCCAGCGGCTTGGCTGGTTTGGCTGGGAGGGAGGAAGGCTGGAGCCTCAGGCCTCTCTTGGAGGCTGGCTGGAGGGGAAGGGAAGGGGACACTGGGTAGTGTGTATGTGGGGGCCCTGGGGGGCTGTTGTCTACCCAGTGGTATAAGAAACTCTCTTGACCTCAAGGAGCTGCTGGAAGGAGAAAGTGACAGTAGTGGGAAGAGAGGGAAGGGCCAGAGAATGAGGGGCAAGCAGAGTAATAGGTGGGTAAGCAGAGACAGGTAAGCAAGAGCAGGTTGCTGGAGGGTTCATGAAGAGAAAAGAGGGTGCAGGGTGTGGGGAATGGCTACCCACACTCAGCAGGTGCCACCTGAAACTCACGTTACATTGCCCTCCAAATGGCCCAGCTCACTCTGATTCTGTCAAAGCCACCTCTTTCCTCCTCTTTGTCGGCTGCCCTTTTTCTCACTTCCCACTGTCCCCTCTGGCACCAGGTCCTGTGGGTGCTTTTCAGTGCCCTTTCTCTCCAGCTGCTTCTCCATCTTTCCTGCCACCACCTGTCGGGACCCACCTGGCCTGCAGAGCCCCCCCTCCCCCCACCTGTGGCTGCCTGCCCTGAGCCGTCACTGGCCCCCACACTATCAGTGCTGTTCCATTGCTACTTGCTAATGTGAGGTGTACCCTCTTTGTGCCTCGCGTAGAAATTTTACCCATATGTCGGTACTGAAAAAGATTGGCAGAAGCAGGGGAATCTTATATAAGTTAGGAATGATAATTTGTACAAAGCTTACAAGAGGTATTCCTACCTATTTCCTTGGACACTCAGCTCCTTATTTTCAGCATGGAGCTTCTGGTCCTCCTGTGGATCCCCAGTGCTCCTCCCTTATGCCAGCCATTTGGAACATTCTAAAGCATTGAGCAGTTGAGAACTCAGTGGGGGTAGAACTGTTTGCATTTTGAAAGCCCCAAGACTGTCTTTCCCCTTCCATAGGCCTTCAAGCCTAGACTGGCAGTTTGGGGTTTGAGGCTCCTTTCTCAGGTGTTGAAAGTGGACAGAGGGGAGGCAAGATACCCTTCCCTGCACCCCTCACCCCTGTCTCCTGCTGCTGCACCTTCATTCATGCCCAGCAGGCTGCACTGTGAGACTGCTGATGGGTGTCTCCCAGCCCAACAGGGCTCTCCAACCCTGGATGATAGCTTTGCTCTAGAAAGCTCGGGTGGGGCCTGTAGGCCTGAGCTGACTGTAAGTGTGTGTGTGTGTGTGTGTGTGTGTGTGTGTGTGTGTGTGTGTATGAGCATTGCCTGGAAAGTTCCCCAGGGATGCATCCAGCAGGGACGCCACTCACAGTAGCTCTCTCTGGGAACTTGATGCCAGCAGTGCTTGTGCCCTGGCAGAAACACAGCTTGTGACTAAGACAATGGCTGAAATGATGCCTTTGCTGGAAGGAAATGACTCTTCTGGTCCCTTAGGAGCCATAAGAGGGTCCTCGCAGCCAGAAAAGTAGATTTTTGTCTGCACTGTTCTGGGTTAACTCCCCAACATCCCAGGAGGGAAACAGCCTTTATTGTCTGGGGAGCCTGGGGGCCTTTTGGATTTGTACAGGTGTGATCCACTATTAGTCAGGGCCGTGACTTGTCTTTTCACTAAAATTAATGTCTGCTCACAGGCTGATTTTCTTAGCTGGAAGGTTTTGCTATGGATGAGACAAAGCAATAAGCTTTAAGCTGAGTCTGACTGAGCTCCTAACTATATTGAAACTGATCTACAAAAATTTTATTTTCAGCCCTGGCCACTGCCTGCGTAGGATGGTGTGAGGAAAAGAGGGGTCCAGAAGTCTCCTAAGCTTAGCACGATGGCAGCCCATTGGCTCTGGGGAATTCACCAAGGGGATGATGCACAGGCAGCCTAGCATTCGCTGTACGGAATCAGGGTTACGGTCTGGAGAGGAGTGATTGATTGGCTCTCCCTCATTCCCACCCCTCTCAGGAATGCCCACTTTGCGAGTGAGGCTCCCTAAAAATCAGGCCCTGGACACGAAATCCATCCATGTGGCAGCTCCGGGATTCTCTTAGCAATGTCCTGGCTTGAAACCTTCAGATACGAACACTTCCACAGTGACTCGAGAGTGATTTCTACGGGGTCATACCACCTCAGGAGCCTTTGGGCCTCATCTGTGGTGAGACACGCAGCCCTGTGCCCTGACTTGCTACGTACACCTCTCTGTCATCATAGAATCCCAGCTCTCTCCAGCCCCGCCTGTGGGGAGTCTGACTGAAGTCCTGGCATTATGGGAGTTGCCTTTCCCTCCTCCTATGCAAGGCAGAGGTCCTTGTCCTTGCCAGGGTTCTCCAGGACAGCCACTAGAAGGCTGTGTGATTTGATTCATCCCTCTTGGTCTCTGGGCCCCACTTCTACCCTCCTGAAATGTGACCCATCCAAATCCCTCCAGAAGGAAGACAGAGGAAGCCACATTCTTTCTTAGGAGGCTTCTCGGCAGGCCAGGCTCAGGAAGGACTGGCCGCAGCTGGTTTGGGGGAGGGAATGGAGAGGAAAAAATGTTGATCAACCCATGATTAATTATTTCCTGAGCCCTGCTGCCTCCTCCTTGATCCTTCTCTGGGATTTATAAAGGCAGTTCAATCCAGCGCAGTAAGCATTTGCTGATGCTTACAGGGAGCAGTCTCTGTGCTAGGCAGCGTGGGGAGGTACAGTGATGAATAAGGGGGAGTTTGTGCCCCGAAGATCTAGCAGTTATATAGGGAGGTAGGCATGTGCAAGGCAGGATGATGTGGGGGCTTATAAGGATTAGAACATAAGTACAAACATAATACTGCAGAACAACAGATGAAGAGTAATTGCTATTAGCAGAATAAGGGAAGGCTTCCTGGAAGAGGTGGCGCTTGAATTAGAAATGTTCCTTTCTGAAGGGCTGAGGTTAAAGGACCTAAATGTGTCTTCATGGCCAGTCTGGGCTGCCCTGTGTATGGATTTATTTTTAGCCGGATATTGATGGCCAGAAATCCCACTGACCCAAATCTAGATCCTTCACGACTGTTGATTGCAAGTGGTTACGTCAAAAAGTTGACTTGGAAGCCTCACCTGTGTAGATTCCATGCCAATCTGGCCCATGCCCCTCGTTCTGCCCTGTGAGTTAGTAGAGAATCCAGGGTTGGAAGGAGGCAAGGCTAGATCCGAGGGGGGGGAGACCAAGGAGAGTTGAA